CTGTCTATTTTTCGAAATTCAGCTCCGATTTGTCCCAAACAGAAAATTGAAGGTGTAAAATGGCCATGGAAGAGTCAACTTCATCTTCTGGAGCTATGATTATGCTCACGGCTACCAACTATACGCTGTGGAAACCTCGGATGGAAGATTTTCTCAGCTGTAAAGAGCTCTTTGACCCGATAGAGCTGAAGGGTATTAACCCTGATCCGTCCAAGGCATTAGAATGGAAGAAAATCAATAGAAAAACTATTGGTCAAATTCGACAATGGATTGATCATAGTGTCTTCCATCATGTTGCACAAGAAACCGACGCATATGTCCTTTGGAGGAAGCTGGAGGACATGTACCAGGCCAAGACTGCTTGGAATAAGGCATTATTGATGAGGCGCTTAGTCAATATGAAGTTGAAAAGTGGAACTTCTGTTGCCGAGCATACCAGTGAGTTCCAGAGCTTGGTAAATCAGCTATCTTGTGTGGAGATGCCACTTGGAGATGAAATGCAATCTCTTCTACTTCTTAGTTCCCTTCCTGATAGTTGGGAAACACTCGTTGTTACTCTCAGCAACTCAGCCTCAAACGACAAACTTTCCATGTCCGTTGTCAAGGATGCCTTATTCAATGAAGACGCAAGAAGGAAAGACATGGGCACAGATCAGACCCATGCCCTTGTGATGGAGAATCGAGGAAGACCACAAGGCAAGCAACAAAGAAGCGGTAGAGGGAAGAGTAGGGGTAGAAGCAATGGGAGGCAATCAGATGATTGGAGATCACATGTTTGTTATCATTGTGGTCTAGAAGGTCATATGAAGAAGAATTGCTATAAATGGCTCGAGGAGCAGGACAAGATCAATTCTCAGCCGAAGAATAGTTCTCAGCAGAAGAAAAAGGGCAAGAGTGGTGAAACTCTTATCACTGTCTCAGGTGATGTAGCATATTGCTCTAACCATGGTGAGACATGCCTTCATGTCTCAAGAGAAGACATGGAATGGGTGGTAGATACTGCAGCATCCTATCACGTTACTCCCAACAGGAAATACTTCACAACATACCGAGCTGGAGACTTTGGATCAGTGAAGAAGGGAAATTCCAGCTCCTCTCAAATTGTCGGAATTGGTGATTTTCAGGCAACGACAGGAACCGGGAGTACAATCTTGTTGAAGGATGTCAGGCATGTGTCAGATCTTAGGTTGAATCTTTTGTGAGTGGTGGCTCTTGACAAAGAAGGATATGAAAATCACTTCGGCGCAGGCACATGGAAGTTGTCAAAGGGTGTTCTGAAAATTGCCCGAGGACATGTTTGTGGGACGCTGTACAAAACACATTTGAAGATCAGTACATAAAGTCTCAATGTTGCAGAGGAGGTTTCCCAGGATCTATGGCACCAGAGACTCGACCATATGAGTGAGAAAGGGCTGACTACCCTGATGAAGAAGGATTTTATCAAGGTTGATAAGAGTGCGGCGATGGGTTGTTGCAGTCATTTCCTGTTCGACAAGCAGCATAGAGTCTCATTCAATACAAGTTCAACAAAGAGATCAAAGTTGTTAAGCTTGGTACACTCTGATGTTTGCGGTCCCATGGAGGTTGAATCATTGGGTGGAAGCAGATATTTTCTGACTTTCATTGATGATGCTTCTCGAAAGGTGTGGGTATATTTTCTGAATACGAAAGACCAGGTGTTTAAGTAATTCAAGGAATTTCACGTCATGGTGGAACGTGAAACAGGAAAGAAGTTGAAATGTCTCCGATCTGATAATGGAGACGAGTATACTTCCATGGAGTTCAATGCATATTGCAGGGCATATGGCATTCGACACGAGAATTCAGTACCATGTACCCCTCAACACAACGACGTTGCTGAAAGAATGAATCGGACTGTCATGGAGCGTGTCCGAAGCATGATGAATATGGCTAAATTACCAAAGCCATTTTGGGGAGAAGCTGTCAAGACCGCATGCTATCTAATCAACCGATCACCTTCAGTTCCATTAAATTTTGAAGTTCCAGAGAGAATATGGACTGGTAAGGATTCGACATACTCACATCTCAGAGTATTTGGTTGTGTAGCATATGCACATGTATCCAAAGAGCTCAGAAAGAAGCTCGATGCGAGGTCAATCCCATGCATTTTCATTGGTTATGGAGATGAAGAGTTTGGATACAGATTTTGGGATCCAAAGGAGAAAAAGGTGATCAGAAGTAGGGACGTTGTGTTCCAAGAAAATTTGACAATAGAAGATATCGAAAAGCCCAAGATGTCTCAAAAGTCAAATGTGGGTGCTCAGGTTTCAGATGAAGCACCAGAATTGTTCCGGAGAAACAATGAAGATGATGTACCAGAAGAAGACGAGGAGACAGAAGAGAGTGCAGAGCAAGGGGAGCCACAACCCATTTTTCCAGACACCAATGTTGGAAGTTCTTCTCAGATGGTTCTACCTACTCGTAGATCTGAACGAGGTCATATACCATCAAAAAGGTACTCATCATCTAAATACCTTCTATTGACAGAAGATGGAGAACCAGAGACTTTTCAAGAAGCCATATCTCATAAGGATAAACAAAAATGGATGGCTGCGATGCAGGAAGAGTTAGATTCTCTGCAGAAAAATCAAACTTATGAGATAGTTAAACTTCCAGAAAGGAAAAAGGCTTTGAAAAACAAATGGGTGTTCAAGCTGAAGAAAGATGCAAATGGACAAGTGGTGAAACACAAAGCTCGATTAGTTGTCAAAGGCTTTCAGCAGAAGAAAGGGATTGATTTTGACGAGATCTTTGCACCAGTTGTCAAGATGACCTCAATTCGAGTCATACTTGGCTTGGCAGCAAGTATGAATTTGGAGCTTGAACAGATGGATGTGAAGACAGCTTTTCTTCACGGAGATTTGAATGAAGAAATCTATATGCAGCAGCCAGAAGGTTTTGAGGTTTCAAGTGAGAACCTCGTGTGCAAGCTATCTAAAAGCTTGTATGGCCTGAAGCAAGCACCAAGGCAGTGGAATAAGAAGTTTGACTCATGCATGAGGAGTCAAGGTTACAAGAAGACTACTGCAGATGAGTGTGTTTACATCAAGAGATACTCAAACGGGGCTTTCATAGTTCTTCTACTGTACGTCGACGACATGTTGATCGTTGGGAATGATGCAGAGAAGATAAGTCAGCTGAAGAAAGAACTTTCCAAGTCTTTTGATATGAAAGATTTAGGAAAGGCTCAACAGATTCTTGGGATGCAGATTACTCGAGACCGAGAGAACGGTAAGTTATGGCTATCTCAAGAGAAGTATATTGAACGAATACTTGAAAGATTCAATATGAGTGATGCCAAACCAGTGAGTATTCCACTTGCGAATCATTTCAAGTTGACCAAAAGATCATGTCAAACATCCAAGGAAGAGATGGGGGAGATGTCTGTTGTGCCATACTCCTCAGCAGTTGGAAGTATGATGTATGCAATGGTGTGTACAAGACCAGATATTGCTCATGCAGTGGGTGTAGTAAGTCGTTATCTTTCTAACCCCGAGAAGGAGCATTGGGAGGCAGTCAAATGGATTCTCAAATACTTGAAGGGTACTTCTAAGTTATGTTTTTGTTACGGGGGAGTTGATCCAATCTTGGAAGGATATACTGATGCTGATATGGCCGGAGATATCGATTGTCGAAAGTCTACTTCGGGCTATGTCTACACTTTTGCCGGGGGAGCAATTTCTTGGCAATCAAGATTGCAGAAGTGTGTTGCTCTGTCCATAACAGAAGCTGAATATATTGCTGCCGCAGAAGCTGGTAAAGAAATGTTGTGGCTAAAGCGCTATCTCCAAGAACTTGGGATTAAGCAGAAAGAGTACAAGGTATATTGTGATAGTCAAAGTGCTATTGACTTAAGCAAGAACTCTATGTACCATGCCCGCACAAAGCATATTGATGTTCGATATCACTGGATACGCGAGAAGATTGATCAACAACTGTTGAAACTAGTGAAGATCAATACGAAGGAGAATCCATCAGATATGTTGACAAAAGTGGTTACACTGGATAAGCTTAAGCTATGCAGAGACATAGTAGGAATTCTTGTTCAGAACTTGCATGGAAAGGGGAGAATTGAAGGTTCCATGCATATATGAAGGAGTCATCAATGGTGTGCTATACACCCTTCACCAACCTTCCTCCACCAAACCTTCAAGCACACCAATGGAGAATCAACAATGGTGCCATCAACCAACCTCTTCTCTTTCACACACTTTTGTCAAGGGAGGTGTGCTACATCTTGCCTATAAATAGGCTTGTTATTTCATTCATTCAAATCATCCAAGAGTGTGATCAATCAACTTTGAGAGTGTTGAAACACAACCAAGAAAGAGTTGTGGAGTGTTTGAGAGTTTTTTGTTTAGAGTTTGTAAATCTCTTGTGTTTTTATTCTTGTGAGTAATAGAAACTTGTCTTTCTCTCAAATATGTTTATGATCTTGAGATGATACCACAACAGTTAGGCCCCCAAAATAAAAGGCACCATCTTTTGCTTTCCTGAAAATTTTGAGTGCCATGCTTGGTGTTTTCTTTATGTTTTGTCCCTCAATTTGGATTGGTTAGTTAGTGAAGCTTTTTTTATGAGTGCATAGAGATGTGTACAATTTAATGGTGGTGGATATCTATTGTTGGTATTTGGGGTCAATTGGTTCAATAAATTTGTGAATAAATTTGGAAGATTGATTGTGTTTGATTGGATATAAGATTTCATTTCTAAAGATAGTAAAAGTTTTTATTTATTTCTTAATTGTGAAGGGAAGTAAAAAGAATTCAGAAGCATATACATCCCATTTTTTTTTTCCAACACAATTCCCTCAACATAATACATAAATATAAATATAAGTTGTTATGATTTATTTTCAATAAAAGAATATTATTTATCACTCACATTGTTTTCCTGCACAATCCCATCAGCATAATACATAAATATAAATATAAGTTGTTATCATTTATTTTCAATGAAAATTATTATTTATCGAACTACATATTTTATAACTACCAAATTTATTTACTTCAAATTTATTTTTATATTACATCAAATTTATTTATTATATCAAAGAGTACCTTACTCATGTAAGAATATATATGCACACTTCTCTTTTATGTATAAATTATTATGTACAAATATAATTATTTAAAAATATTCACTTAACAAAACCACTTTTTATATTTTTAATTCTATCTATTTCTAATGAGAGGAATTTTATTTATGAAATTCTACATACATTACACCAAAATCCAAATCTCTTGTCATCATTTTTATGAAATAAACTAAACTCTGCAGGGGAATTAGCACTCACCACTTTTTTATTTGTTATGAAATTACTACTTTTTCCTTTAAGGAAAAGTACAATTCCCCAACTTTTCAAAAGGGAATTGGCAATTGGGTATATTTAATATTTGGACAGCAACTTAGGCAAATTATTATTATTATTATTATTATTATTATTATTATTATTATTATTATTATTATTATTATTATTATTATTATTATTATTATTATTATTATTATTATTTCTCACGATATGCTGCGTGTGGTGGTTTAATGCATTATAATAATATCAGACAATGTTAATAAATGATAATCATGGTGGTAGTTAACAAAATTAAGGTTAATCGGATTGGTAATTATATCTCAAATATTTGGATGATAATTAAACATCCCATAAATCTATACTTATATAAAAAGTCATTATATTAACTAAAATTAATAGTAAGAAAAGTCAAAGATAATTAATGTATTTTATTTCCATAAAGTATTTTATTTAATTATTTTATTTAATTATTTTATTCCATAGCACATTTTCAATACAACTTACCATGATTTTTCCATTGTGATTAAAAACCAGATTTTAGGTTTAAAATCTTGTGAAATTATTATTATTATTAGTTTTATAAAGCAGATATTATTTGTTAAAAAATTGTATATATATATATATATATATATA